TTTTCATCGACTTTCAAGCAGAACCTTCAGCGTCTTCGGGCAGTACTTGATGCGCTACTGACACGTACGGTTCTTTTGGTTTACGAAGGAAGACGCTATCACTTTCTGTTAAGCGCAACGCAGGCCGCGTTTATCTTGTATGCCACTCTGGAACGCGTCGCGTGTATAAAAAGCCGGCGCAGTGCGCCACTGGGGGTCTTTTTTTTTCCGTCGGCCGACGACTGTTCACGCCGCTGTTGCTGTGAGTTGTGTTTGGCCCTGTTTTGCTGGGCACAAGTTCGCCCAATAAACAGTTCGCCCGACACCGCCCTGACTCCTGCGTGCTTCCTCTCAAGTGCTGCGTGTATCACAACCTCGTGACATCTGGTGGAGGTGCTTCTCTGTCCATGTACCGTACGCCCCCGTCCAGCCGTGAGCCAAGCCCAAGCCGCCAAGAGGACGACGCCGACCCGGTCGTTCGAGTGAGCCGAAGACAACAAGAGTCACAATTCACAGCCAGACGTATTCTGTGAATTTTGTGGTCCTGCAGCAATGCTCGCGAGACGTCATTTTAGGCATGGATTTCCTGGACCAGCAAGGCGCAGTAATCGACCTAAGATCCAGGTCAATCACGCTGTCCACGGATAATGCAACGGCGTCAGACTGCAACGTCGCTCACAATGCCTTGAATGTGACAGAAGAGCAGGTAACCATCCCGCCACTGTCGAGCGTCATCATTTCCGTCGGCACCAAAGCGTCTACCAACTTACAAGGTGTCATCGAAGGCGACCAGCACCTGCTCCTAAACCGTCAGATGTGCGTCGCAAGAGGCATAGCCAAGCTTCATAACGGCGAAGCCAAGGTAATGGTGACGAACTTCAGCAACGAATATAGGCACTTAAATAGGGGCACGACGGTAGCACATCTAAGCGAATTTGTGGAAGCGAGCAATGCCTTCGCCCTCACTGATTCTCAGGGAGCCGCAACGTCGACAGCAGTGTCCGCGCCCGCCTTCGACGTCAATCAAAGCCTTTCCAGGCAGCAACAAAAGGAACTCAAAGCCTTACTCCACCAATACAAGGACTGCTTCTCGTCGTCGTCGAGGCTTCGTCAGACCCCTCTCGCGAAACATCGCGTCATAACCGACGAATATGCCCGTCCGCTCCGTCAGAGCCCCTACCGAGTTTCTGCACGGGAACGCGAGGCCATCAAGCAACAAGTCGACGAAATGCTGCGTGACGACATCATTCAGCCGTCTACGAGTCCGTGGGCATGACCCGTGGTGTTGGTGAAGAAGAAGGACGGAACCCTACGTTTTTGCGTCGATTATCGTCGCCTGAACAACATCACGAAGAAAGACGTGTATCTCTCCCACGGATAGACGATGCTCTGGACAGACTCTACAACGCCAAGTATTTTTCGTCGATGGATCTCAAAACCGGCTACTGGCAAATCGAAGTAGACTAGAGAGACCGAGAGAAGACTGCCTTCATAACACCAGACGGCCTATTCGAGTTTAAGGTCGTGCCCTTTGGTCTTTGCTCGGCGCCGTGATCGTGCAGAGGACCGACGGACTTGAAAGGGTCATCAGTTACGCTAGCCGGTCACTTTCGAAGGCAGAAGCCAATTATTCCACGACAGAAAAGGAATGCCTTGCCATCATCTGGGCTACATCAAAGTTCCGCCCCTACCTGTACGGCAGGCCCTTCAAAGTCGTGAGTGACCACCACGCCTTGTGTTGGCTAGCTAACTTGAAGGATCCATCAGGGTGCCTCGCACGGTGGAGTCTCAGACTACAAGAATTTGACATCACCGTCGTCTACAAGAGCGGACGAAAGCACTCCGACGCCGACTGCTTGTCTCGCGCCCCTGTCGATCCGCCGCCCCAGGATGACCAGGACGACGACTCTTTCCTGGGACCCATAAGTACCGACGACTACGCGGAACGCCAACGAGCTGACCCGGAGCTCAAGATCCTCATGGACTACCTGCAAGGCAAGACCGCCGACGTGCCGAAAGTATTCCGCCGAGGACTGGCTTCGTTTTTCCTGCGAAACAACGTCCTCCTGAAGAAAAACTTCTCGCCGCTCCGCGCCGACCACCTCCTCGTGGTACCTTCAGCGTTACGTCCAGAGGTTCTGGAAGCATTACACGACGACCCGACAGCCGGACATCTTGGTGTTTCCCGCACACTGTCACGAATACAAGAGAAGTACTATTGGCCTTGCCTCGCTGCCGACGTCGCCCACTACGTAAAAACATGCAGAGACTGTCAGCGACGCAAGACGCCGACAACTAGGCCAGCCGGACTTCTGCAACCCGTCGAACCACCTCAACGGCCATTCCAACAAATCGGCATGGACTTACTGGGGCCGTTCCCGACGTCAACTTCTGGCAACAAATGGATTGTCGTAGCGACTGACTACCTCACCCGCTATGCCGAAACAAGGGCCTTGCCCAAGGGCACTGCCGCCGAGGTCGCCATGTTCTTCATTGAGAACATCGTCCTCCGCCACGGAGCCCCCGAGGTCCTCATCACCGATAGAGGTACGGCCTTTACTGCTGACCTAACGCAAGCGATCTTGAGGTACAGTCAGACAAGCCACCGCCGAACCACCGCGTACCACCCACAGACGAATGGCCTCACCGAGCGTCTAAATAAGACCATCGCCGACATGCTGGCCATGTACGTGGACGTCGAGCACAAGACGTGGGACGCCATACTCCCGTATGTAACCTTCGCGTACAACACGGCCGTGCAGGAAACGACGCAGTTTGCTCCATACAAGCTCGTCTACGGACGGAGCCCAACAACGACGCTTGACGCCATGCTACCGGTCGGCACCGACGGAGAAGACCTCGACGTCGCCAGCTACCTGGATCGCGCTGAAGAAGCTCGACAGCTAGCCCGCCTGCGTATCAAGAGCCAACAGACGGTCGACAGGCGCCACTACAACCTTCGACGACACCACACCGAATACCAACCAGGTGACCTTGTCTGGGTCTGGACGCCGATACGACGACGGGGATTGTCTGAGAAGCTCCTGCGACGCTACTTTGGACCCTACAAGGTAGTCCGACGTCGTGGTGAACTGGACTATGAGGTCGTGCCCGATGGCTTAACGTCATCCCAACGACGCCGTGCACGACCCGAAGTCGTACACGTGGTGCGACTTAAACCTTATTACGCGCGCTGATTAGCTGTGACGCATTGTTAATGTAATTTATTGCATGTACTCTCTCTTGTGTTCTGTCTTTAGCATCGGGACGATGCTTTTTCAGAGGGGGGTAGTGACACGTACGGTTCTTTTGGTTTACGAAGGAAGACGCTATCACTTTCTGTTAAGCGCAACGCAGGCCGCGTTTATCTTGTATGCCACTCTGGAACGCGTGGCGTGTATAAAAAACTGACACATGCGGTTCTTTTCGTTTGCGAAGGAAGACGCTATCACTTTCTGTTAAGCGCAACGCAGGCCGCGTTTATCTTGTATGCCACTTTGGAACGCGTTACGACGCGTGTATAAAAAGCCGGCGCAGTGCGCCACTGGGGGTCTTTTTTTTTTCCGTCGGCCGACGACTGTTCACGCCGCTGTTGCTGTGAGTTGTGTTTGGCCCTGTTTTGCTGGGCACAAGTTTGCCCAATAAACAGTTCGCCCGACACCGCCCTGACTCCTGCGTGCTTCCTCTCAAGTGCTGCGTGTATCACAACCTCGTGACACTACGAACAGCTGGTCTATCGCTCAAGCCCAAAAAATGCCAATTTGGCAACAAGAAGCTCAAGTTTCGGGGCTATGTCGTCAACAGTGACGGAATTCGCCCAGACCCCGAGAAAACACTGGCTGTTACTGCCTTCCCAACGCCGATTAACAAACACGACGTACCCCGTTTTCTGGGCCTTTGAGTGTAATAACGTCGCTAGTCCCGAACTTTCCGAAAGTAGCAGAACCCTTACACCAACTCACGAGAGACAAAGTTGCTTCTAGTGGGCCCCGGAACAACACGAAGCTTTTCCCTACCTACGACGACGCTTCGAGACTTCTCCAATCTTGGGTCATTTTGACGAAAATGCCGACACTGAAGTGCATACAGATGCATGTAATGTCGGCCTCGGAGCCGGCCTTGTGCAATGGCAGGAAGGTATCGAGTGAGTGATCGCCTACGCTAGTCGCACGTTCTCATCAGCGGAAACGAACTATTGCCCCAGAGAAAAGGAATGCCTAGCGGTCGTGGGGGTCATAGCCAAGTTCCGATCATATTTGTACAGGCGACCATTCAAAATAGTCACCGACACCATTCTTTGTGCTGGCTTGCAGGCCTCAAAGACCCCTCAAGCCACCTAGCTCGATGGAGTCTCCGCTTAGAATAATATCATATTATGGTGGTTTACAAGTCAGGACGCAAGCACTCCGATGCTGACTGCCTATCATATGCCCCTGTCGAGTCGATTCCTCCTGACCAAACTGATGGCAAAATTTCCTCAAGGCCGTCACAGCCTCCGACTTGGCTCAAAAACAGCGTGATAACACTGACTTTTGCCTGATCATCGACTATCTCGAGAACAAGCTTGAACAGCCACCACGAACATTCAGGCGCAAGATTTCATCATTTTTCCTCCGTAACAACGTCCTGCACGAGCGGATCTTTCATCCCAACGCTCGAACCACGCTACTGCTCGTACCATCTGTGATGCGAGATGACATCCTTAAGGCGCGCCATGACGAACCATCTTCCGGCCATTTAGGGTTCCGGCGTACTCTGACTCGTATCTGCCACACCTACTACTGGCCCAAACTTTGCCGTATTATCAAGCACTACGTCAAAACCTGCCGAGACTACCAGCGTCACAAGACTCCGCCCATGAAACCTGCTGGTCTTTTACAGCCTGTGGAGCCACCCCCAGAACCGTTCCAACACGTTGGCATGGACTTTCTAGGTCCATTTCCACAATATTCAGCGGGGATTCGCCGGATAATGGTTGTGACTGACTATTTAATCCGTTACTGTGAAACACGAGTACTCACGCACGGTACGGCAAGCGATGTCGCGGAAAATTCTGCATTCATGCTGTCGTCCTCCGCCATGGTGCACCGGCCGTGGTTCAAACAGACAGAGGCAAGGCCTTCACTGCCCAACTGCTGGAAGAAGAGATGACACTTAGCGGCATCATACGTCACCGAACGACAGCTTCCCATCCACAAGCTAACGAATTAATTGAACGGCTCAATAAGACCATCACAGACATGATTTCCATGTATGTCGACATCAACCATAGAAACTGAGACAGTGTCGTCATGTTCATACCTTTCGCATATAACACGGGCGTGCAAGAAACCACAGGATTTACACCTTTTCGACTGCTTCACGGCCGCAAAGTTGCTACGTTGTAACTTCGCGGCCGTACTCCGAAGAGGGGTGAGCTAAAACGCCCTGGATTCCTATTTATTTCGAAAGAGAATTCAAACAAGACAAAAACAGCGTGATCACGCGACTAAAATAATTCCGCTCTGTCTCTTGAGAACGCCTTAAAAGGGTAAAATATTGCCCTAATTTTCCAAAATACTCTCAAGTAAGAATAAAAAAACTCCTGGTTTCTTTTCACTAAACGACATAGAAGTAAAGATTTTGCCCCATCAACGCCCTTTGTAGGCCCTTCCACATGGCCGTTTTCTTTACTCTGAATTCGAGGGCGTAATGATGCTGTTTGATGTTCTGTGACGCGAGGGCCATTTCATGAGCAAAGATCGCCAATTCTTGTTACAAGAGATATGAACAATGATTGTAATAAGCGGCTGTATATGGGCCATAAAATTCAACGCTCTAAGGCGGGTAAAAACATAGAAGGAACGAAAACATGACTCTGCCGTGAAACGTGTGCGGTGTGAATGCATGACAAACGTTTGTGATAATAAAAACAATAATGGACATGTCTGGCGTTAGCACAAGTACCTCCATCATTCACACCCTTGCGTCCAAGGGTCATGAGGCAAGTGATTTGTTGAGTGTACCCACCACAGCGGAGACCTCTCGGGAGAGGTCATGCTACGGAATGCCCGGGTATATAATATAAAAAAGTGTGAACTTCTCTTAAAAGCGCCAACAATGATTTATGTGTAAAAAATGGTTCCCTACCAACGAACATTGCTGGGTGAAGGGGTATCTGCTGTCGGTAGGGAAATGGAAAGTGTTGTCTTCTTAGCGTGTCTAATTCTTTGCACTGAATCAGAATGTGAAGTATGGTGAGCACTTCTCCACATCTTTCACACAAAGGTGGATCACCACCAGACAAAAGAAATGAATGTGTAATGTATGTATGTCCTGTTCCTAACCTTGTGAGTATTACTTCTGTGGGGCATGATTTTGATACTGGCGGCCAATGACCAAGTTGCGGCTTGACGACATCCAATTTGTTACCTTTGTGTGTGCCGTATGTGCTATGCCAATGCTCCCTGAGCTTTCGTTTAAGAAAGGCTTTCAAGTCGAGTGCAGGAACTGGTATCCATGTATTGCTAGCCGTTTTGTGGGCAGATCCAGCTAGCTGGTCCACCAGAACGTTGCCTTGTATTTTGCGATGTCCAGGCACTCAGCAAACTACATGATGTTTGGATGAGTACACTGCATAGGAGTGAACAAATCGAGACAAAGACAGAGTTTTTGTGCTTTTTAGGTGTTTTCAGAGCTTTTGCTGTGCTTAGGGAACCTGTATTTATTATTGCATTCTGTAGCTTTATTTACCTAATGTGTTTAACGGCCGCAAGTATGGCATAAGCTTCGCCGGTGATAATGCTTGTATCAGAGTGCAGAACGCCGGCTTCCGAAAAAAATGGGCCGACGGCTGCGTACGAAACGCAACTGTTAGACTTTGAAGAATCCGTAAAGAACTGAGGACATGTGTATTTATGTTGTAGTTCAAGGAAGTATGTCTTGATATGGTTGATTGGTGCAGTCTTTGTAACCTCCAAGAATTACACGTCGCAATCTATCGCCTTCCACTGCCATGGTGGCAGGCATACTGCGGGAGCCATCAAGCGGTTTTCGAGTGGCACACCGGTTTCCTTCACTAGGCCCCTCACCAGGAGTGATTAGGGCTGTCTCATAAAAGGCCGTTTGCCAAACACAGCAAGGCTCGACATGTCATTAATTGTGGAATGTGATGGGTAATCCTTGTCAGCATATACATTAAGATAGGATTTGAAAGACATGTAACATCTCTGCAGGTGTAGCGACGATTCGTTCAATTCCACGTACAGGCTTTGCACGGGGCTATTGCGAAAAGCACTCGTAGAAAACCGAATGCCTAGTTGATGAACAGGGTCAAGCATTTTAAGGACAGTAGGTGTCGCAGACTGATATACTATTGCCCCATAGTCTAGCAGGGTACATACGAGGCTTTTATGCAAATTCATTAAACACTTCTGGTTGCTTCCCCACGTAGTGCGAGACAACACTTTTAGATCGTTTGTAGCTTTTATGCATTTCTTTTTTAAATTATTGATGGGCGGTATGAAGATTAGCTTAATGTCCAAGATTAGGCCGAATAATTTGTGTTCGGTATTAGTGGTAAGACGTTGCCCATGCACTTGAATATCGGGTTCGGGATGAATACCTCACTTGTTGGAGAACAAGACACACGTGCTTTTCTGTGCATTCAACCGGAACCCATTTTCTTCAGCCCAATTGGAGACTTTGTTCAAACCAGGCTGAACCTGCCACTCACACATGGCTAGGCTAAGAGGCTTAAAACCGAACTGAACGTCGTCGACATATGTAAAGTAAACGATATTTTGAGGGATAGACAAGCGTAGAGAATTCAATTGGTAATAAAACGTATGCAAATAAGTTCACCACCTTGCGGCACGCCTGCTTCTTGGACAAAAGCTTTAGCAAAGAATGCTGCCTACTCGAACTCCGAATGTCCGATTTGACAAGTAACTTTCGAATACGTAAAACATTCTTCCGCACACGCCAAGACGGGACAGATCTCTTAATATTCCAAAGCTCCATGTTGTATCGTAAGCCTTTTCGATATCAGAGAATCCAGTGAGAAGATGTTGTTTATGGACGAAAGCGTCTCTGATCTGTGCTTCCATACGAACAAGGTGGTCTGTGGTAGATCTACCCTCTCGAAACCCGAACTGAAATGGGTCGAGTAAATTGTTTGTTTCGAGAAAATGTACAAGTCGGCAGTTTATCATTTTTTGAAGACTTTGCACAAGCAGCTCGTAAGTGCATTAGGCCTATAGCTCAAAACAGAAGATGGGTCCTTTTCCTCTTTCAAAAAGGGAATAATGTTAGCCTCTTTCCAGGATGTAGTGACAGCGCCAGAAAACCAGATAGTATTGTACAAAGAAAGTAAGATTTTTGTGTTTCGATTGGTACGTTTTTTAACATTTCACACATCACATGGTAACAACCTGGGGCGAAAGTACTGCAGGAGTTAAGTGATGTTTGGAGCTCGACTGAACTGAAAGCTTGGTTACGTGCCTCGTCTCTACTGCATTTGTGTTCGAGTTTTTGCTTCTCTATTCTTGTTCTGTATTTTTGGTAAGCGTCAGTATAGTGTGACGAGCTGGACACCCATTCGAAGTGTGGACCGAGGAAGTTCGTCCGATCTTCTAAGCTCTCGCCCTGTGTGTTTACGAGTGGAACTGTGTGTACTTGTTTTCCTCCTAGCCTACCAATCATGTTCCAGACTTAAGCCTCCTGTGTATATGAATTGATCTCTGACAAAAACTTCTGGCAGCTTTCTCTTCTGGCCTGCCGATGCGTTCTCCGGCCTTGAGACTTTATTTTCTGGAAGGTGTCAAGATTTTCGGCTGTCGGTGAGTTCCGAAGCAACCTCCACTCTCCTTTTTGCTGTTTGCGCGCTTCGGCATACAGAGTTCCACCATGGCACACGCCGTTTTCCAGGGTGTCCATTTGTTTGTGAGATGCACTTTATTGCAGCATCAATCAAAAACGCTGTGAAGTAGTTGACAGCAACATCAATTCTCAAAGTACATATGTCACTCCAACCTAAACGAGTGATGGTATAAAACTGTTCCCAGTCGGCTATCTTTATGAGCCATTTGAGGACACGTGGTGGACACTCAGTTGCTGTGGTTGTGCTCAAAACTAAGGGGAAGTGGTCACTTCAATACGGATTACTGATGAATTTCCACCGGAGTAGAGGCACAATAGACGGCGATACTATGCTTTGGTCTATGAAGCATTTGGTAATATTAGCGAGATTATAATAGAATGGATCTTTTCTATATACGAGACACGTGTTTGACGAGAGAAGGAACTGTTCAATCAGTCGGCCTCGCGCTTCGCAACGAGAGTCACTCCATAGCCTGCTATGCGCATTAATGTCTCCAAGGAGAACATTAGGCTCTTGAAGTTCACCAATTAAAGAGTGCAAATTACGTTTTTGCAGGTGATAGCTAGGAGGAATATAAATGGTGCCAATTGTGGTCAGTTTATCAAAAAGAACCACTCGAACAGCCACTGCCTTGAAATATGTTTGTAACTGTAAGTGTGTGCATGCAATCCCTTGATTCACTATAATGGCAACACCTCCGTATGATGTCAAGGCATCATCACGTTCCTTTCGCAAAATAACGTATTTATGAAGAAAGTTGGTGTGTTTTGAATTAAGGCTTGTTTCTTGTGCACACACCATTTTGGTCAGTATTCGTGTAAAAGTTCGTGGATGTCGTCAAGGTTTCTGATAAGGCCCTCTGACGTTCCAATAAATTATTTGAGTGTTCGTGGTGAATGTAAAGTAGTGCTCTGTGTACAAAAAGCTAGTGGCTGTTTAGGCGGGAAAATTGAGTTCACGTAACACGGCCGTCACCAGGCTCTGTTATCTGATTTTTTGTTTTGTTTGTGCGCTCCAAAGCGCTACGCTACTCTTTCAGCACCAAGGGTGCCGATGTATTCATTGCCTCTTCAGAGGCACTCGATGCGCACACGTGCGAGCTAGTAGTTCGAATTTCGGGCCTTGCCTGGTAAGGTGAGGCCTTCAGACCTGAGGACACTGGGGTCTCCGGTTTTTGTTCGGGAGTAGGTGGTGTAGTCTGGGCTACAGCCACCTTTGGGGTAGGTGCCACAACCGCCGGCTCGCTATGTGTGGGCCGAAGGAGTGACTGGGGCT